GGAAGTGAGCCGGCGTCGTGCGGCCCAGGATCAGGGCATTCACCATCTGAGCTGAGCGGCGACTTCAACAGCGCCGTGATCTCCGACAGCGACCTGGAGGACGAGCAGGCGCACCTCGATGCTGTTCTGGAGCCGATGGCCGGCGCTGGCTCGGGGGCTGGGGATTGGGGGAAGGAGGGTGAGCCCGGTTGTCCTGGTTCTGGGTGGCGCCCTTCGGGCGTCCGTCATATTGGGCGCCCTCTGTCCCGTCCTCCCCCCGAGCCGACCGTGGCTCCTGCTGGCACTGGGGTCGGCACCGAGTTCATCAGCCTCGAGGACCACGACGTCACCACGGATGAGGACGAAGCCGCCACAGATGGGGAAGACGAGGATGCCCTTCCTTATGTTCCAAGAGAGCATTGGGATATTCTGGCGGCTTGGTGGATGGATCTGCTCGAGCCTCTGGGAGTAGTCAGCGCCTGGACTCCATTGCGCTCCGTGGTTGCCGACGCCCTTTCCGACGCCTCTCCCCACGCCCCCGTCGCCCTTCCCGACGACGACCTACCCGACGCCGCTCCCTACGCCTCCCTACGACCCCCTACGGCCCCCTACGGCGCCCTACCCGACACCCCCGACGCCCTTCCCCACGGAGCCGTACCTGTCGCCCACGCCGCTCTTCCCGACGACGCCCTTCCCGACGCCCTTCCCCACGACGCCCTGCGCCCCCCTGCGGCCCCAGACGACGCCCTATCCGACGCCCACGACGCCCTCTCCCTCGGTGCCCCGCCCGACGCCCACGACGCCCTTCCCGACGCCGACCTTCCCAACGTCGACTTTCCCGACGCCGCTCCCAACCCCACGACGCCCTGCGACCTTCCCAAACCCCTTCCCGACGACGCCCTTCCTGACGCCCTAGCCCACGCCCCACCCGGCACCGCACCCGTTGCTCTACCTCTCCACATCGGGGCGGCTGACCCCGATCTTCGACTACGTGCCGAGAGCAAGGATGATCTGACAAGAAATGGCTACGCCGAGTCGCAAAGGAGGTTTGCTATCGGCGTTGGCGCGCCCAGCGACAGCCAGCGGAAGTACAGCTACGAGTATCTGCAGGTGCTTGCCCGGATTCACGGCTGGCTCGGGGAGGGCCTGGTCATCGCAGTGCGCTTGGAGGCTGCAGCTGCTCGCTTCCAACAGCGGGGGGCTGACCGACGCGACCGCCTGCTGATACGACGAGGGGCTGCGTATGCTGCCGCCCTGCTGTCTCTGCGTTCCTCGTTCCCCGCCGAGTACAAGTCGAAGGATAAGCTCATGAAGGAGGAGGGGCCGGCCAGCAGCCCGGCGAGCGGCGATAGCTGACTCTGCGCCACTGAGGGGGCGTCGGCTCTGTTGTCCCTGCTCTGGGAGGCTGGCTTGTGCTGCGGCGCCGTGCTCGGCGCGCACCCTCCTTGAGGCGTTCTGCTCCGGCATTGCCGCCTCTCTTTTCCACCATTGACAATATTAGTTTGTGCCTTGGTACTCTCGCGTTCATCTTGATTTTGGACTGGCATCTTCGAGGACCTGTTTAGGCTCGGTGCTAACTCCAGCCTCGTGTCGGCCGGTCGGTTGAGGACCTCTCGGGGCTCGCCTATTCTTCGCCGGTCTCGGGTTCGAGTTGACCCTTATATTGATTATATTTTCCGCCGAGTTTGGCACTGATTGGGCAGATTCTGTCGTATTGGTGCATCCCTGGCGCTTTGGTGAGTTTTTCCGCCCATTCTGGCACTGAGCAGGCAGATTCTGTCTTTTTTGTGCCTCTCTGGCGCCTCGTTGTCGATGCCTCGGAATCTCTTCCTGCTGGAGGGTCCACGCTCCTCTCGTGCCCTGTTTAGTGCCATTTTGGACATGACGCCCTGGTCGATGCACATTGAGTTGTGCGCAGGTGGGCCCGCGATCTGTGTGGAGCTGATGGTGGTGTGGGGAATGCCGGCGCGGTGAAAAAAAAAACATAACTCCCGAGTCTCATCAGATCGCCTGCGCGCAGCAAGCAATATGCTGGCACACCCGCCGTCCATGTGAAAAGACAATGCGAAATGGTGTTGGGGCGCGCGCGCATGCTGCAGATTTTGACTCACTTGTCCAATAATGTTTCAACTTTCCCCCGCTTTTCTCTCCGCCAGCTTTCCCAAACTTTCTCCCGCTTTTCCCTCTATCTCGCCAGCTTTCCCCATCTTTCTCCCACTTTCCCTTTAATCTTTCCAGCTTTCACGCCAGTTATCGCGCCAGTCGCCGGAGCCTTCTTTCTCTTTCCTCCCCACTCCGTCTTTCCCTCCCTTTCTCTCCCTTTCTCCCTCTTGCGCGCCGGCCTTCTCGCCAGCTTTCGCGCAGTCTTCCTGTTCTGTGTCCGGCGACTCGCCAGCTTTCTTGTTCAGCTCCGGGCGACTCTGGCGAAACCTGGCGCAGAATCCCGAGCGGGCGCCTTCGCCTGAGACGTCCTCGGCAAGTCGAGGCCGCCGGGCTGTTTCTGGGCCCAGCGACGACGACGACCACGTCGACGACGACGACGACGCCGACGACGACGACGACGACGACGACGGCGGCGGCGGTGGCGGCTGCAGCGGCGGCGGTGGCGGCGCCATCAGAAAGTGGCCGTCTCTCCGCGGGGCTCTCCCGGAGGTTGCGAGGCCTCTCCCAGAGGTCTTAGGCTACTCAGGCGTCGTGGTGCTTAGAAGCAATACCTGGGCAGGAAGATTGCGAAGGCGATGTGCCATCCGGGCAGAAGATGTGTAAACACTTCGTCGGACGGGAAATTAGGGAGAGGGAATATCGCCCCCCCTCCCCCCCGCGCGCGCTAAGGAAATTCCCCATGATGGGGGAGTTATCATCATGATGGATGCATGCTGCGTAGCGTGCAGCATTCGCTTGACATGGTTGTGGTTGTTGTTGTCGTCGTGGGTTGTTGTTGTTGTTGTTGTTGTTGTTGTTGTTGTTGTTGTTGTTGTTTTTGTTGTTGTTGTTGTTGTTGTTGTTGTTGTCGTCGTTGTTGACTTCTCACGATTCAAGAGTTAATTATGGTTGATCCCCCTCCGGTGACCATCGTGTTTTTCAATTGAAGTGTTTCCCCGTGGGATCGCGTTTTTTTCATTTTTTTTTCCTCTCTCTCTCTCTTCTTCTTCATCTTCATATTCTTCTTCTTACTGTCTTACCGTGGAAAGTCACAATGGTCAAACAGCGCTCCTGGCCCCCGGGTTACAACGACAGTGGCTCCCGCTTGATATTTTTCGCAATTTAACCAGTGCCCCCGCTCCCGCCTGTCTCTCCCTCGCATTTCATTCAGGAATGGCGCTCTCGCTTGGGACTTCCTTACGATTTATGCAAGAATCGCTCTTTCGGCGCTGTGGACTCGCGCTCTCGCTGTGGATTTCTTGTTTGCGGTTTATTCAAGAATGGCGCTCTCGCTTTGGAGCATTCCGCAATTTACTCAAGTGCCGCGCTCCCGATATGCAGGCACCCAAGAGTCGCGCTCACGCCCAGGACCCACTCACAGTTTACGTAGGAATCGGCCCGTCGTGGCCCCGATGCAGTCCTTCTTGGCCCCCTCGCTGCCCTTCGTGGCCCCGTTGCAGCCCTTCCTGGCCCCCTCGCTGCGCTTCGTGGCCCCGGTGCAGCCCTTCGTGGCCCCCTCGCAGCCCTTCGTGGCCCCCTCGCAGCCCTTCGTGGCCCCGTTGCAGCCCTTCCTGGCCCCCTCGCTGCGCTTCGTGGCCCCGGTGCAGCCCTTCGTGGCCCCCTCGCAGCCCTTCGTGGCCCCCTCGCAGCCCTTCGTGGCCCCCTCGCAGCCCTTCGTGGCCCCCTCGCTGCCCTTCGTGGCCCCGTTGTAGCCCTTCGTGGCCCCCTCGCAGCCCTTCGTGGTCCCGTTGCAGCCCTTCATGGTCGCTCAACTCAGACGCCCCCCCCAAATCAGACTCCAGAGTGCACTCCTCCACCCCTTCGGTGACCACATGCGAGCCCTACCCCCGCCCCCCACGATTTCTCTGAGGGCGGGTGGGGGTTCACTCCGATCGGGAGCTCCCGAGCGAAATGACCCCTCCCTCCTTAGAAATGGTGGGGGTGGGGGTCGGGTTCGCATGTGGTCCCCTGCCCACGGATTCAAAGACCATGGGGAGGAGATGGGTAGACTTAAGTCGGGCCTGTCCCTCTACAGGGGAATATTCAAAAATAGTACAACAATAGTCTGGGGACGATTTTTTCAATACTATTTTTGGGTATTTTGGGGGTATTTTTTTTGTTTCGCCCAAACCCCCCTGTAGGGGGACACGCCCGACTGATGTTTAGGTCAACGCGGGAAGAGCACCCCAACCCGCACAATCGGCGTCTACGGAGCGGCCTTGGGCGTTTACGAAGCAGCCCCGTCCCGTTCGATGCCTTCCTTCGTTGCGCTTGCCAGGAGGCTTCCCTTGGCGGGGTGCCTCAGACGAGGGTTTTTGTTTGCTGCCCTCTGCCAGAGCCCCTTTGCCTGGGACCGATCTTCTTCCCCTGGCCATTTTGACGGCCTCTCGCGACGACGCGGGGGGGTCGGGTGCTTGGTTTAGGGGGTTTAGGGGGTTTAGGGGGTTTAGGCCCCTCGAACACCGCCCCCACAGACCTTTCCAGGGGTGCGGTTTGTCCAGGATGACGCCGGGAACCCGGCCGCGGCCACGCGAGGAGCTTCCTGGGGGGGTTCCCGCGAGCGTGCAGAGGGAGAGAGAGAGAGAGAGAGAGCCGCACCCTCGCAGCGCTCGAGCCTCGACCTCCCTCCTCCTCGGCCCTCCTCCCGCCCCTCCCCTTCAAGAGGGAACAAAAACACACAGACACACTTAATCGACGATCCCCAGGAAAATATGGGAAAATATGGGAAGTGGGGGGGAAGACAAAAACCCAGAAAATATGCGAAAATATGGGGAATCTTTTTATTTGTGTGTATTTATTTGTGTGTCCCAGTGCCCCCTCCCCTGCCCTCCCCGCCCCCCCCCCTCCGCGGGCGGAGACCCGGCGGCCCCCGCCGAGAGGAGCGCTTCGTGGAGCTCCTGCGGGGCAGCGCGGGGCAGGCGACCGACCGGAAGGACCGGCCCCCCCTGACCAGCCTCGAGCTCAAGCCTATCCCTCAGATGGGCAGGCCCACGGGCGATGGCAATCTCACGGACGTGCCCTCAGAAACCGAGGGCATCCTTGAGATCGGCACCGAGGTGAGGTGATGCCAAGCATAGGGACAGGGATATACTTCCAGCTGGTAGCCCCCCTCCTGCGAGGGGGGAGGGCTCCAGGCCTCCCGAATGGGGTCCGAGTCGATGGGGTCGGAGGATCTAGCCGCATCGCCGATGCATCGCCGATGCGGCTCGATGTGCAGGCCGATTTGCTTCACGTCGACGTCGCCGATGCATCGCCCACGTCGACGATGCGTCGACGATGCGTCGCCGATGCACGCCGATGCACGCCGATGCATCGCCGGTGCGGCGCGATCCTCCGACCCCACCTACTCCGACCCCATCTAGGAGGCCTCTGTTCCAGCTGGGGGGGGGGGATCTGGCTCCGGACCTCTGCTTCACGCGACTGTGTGGAACCGTGCGTCCTGTGGGGGAGGCCCCACCCGCTCGAAACAGGCGCCCCAAACAGCCAAGATCTGCTCCACCGGGGGAGGGGGGGGGGTCCACCCGGGGACCGGAATGAGGGGCTCAAATTTTCGAGGTTTTTTCTAGGCTCCAGCGCTTTAGAGGTTTCAGTTTGAGGTTCCGAACTCTCGAGGGTTTCCAGGTTTCGAGGTTTCCAGTTCGAGGTTTCGAACCTTTTCTAGCGCTCGCGCCGGTTCCAGGCGGCTCTCCAGGAGGGGGGGCGCCACGACTTCTCACGACCCCCCTCCTGCGGGGGGGAGGGCGAAGCGCCGCCGCCTCGGCGCCTCGCGGCCTTCGGCGGCGGCCCTGCCGCGGCCGCCCGCGCGCGGCCTTGGTGCCCCCCGGGGCTCGGCGTGCGCGGAGGGCCCCCTGCAGCGCGGCGGAGCGGACGGCGCCGGTGGCGACGGCCCCGATCGGTGGAGGGCCCTGCGCGGAGCGGAGGGCGGCCGACTGCGGGCCGAGCGCGAGCAGCGCCGGCGCCTTCTCCGCGCCGGCCGCCGTCAAAGTTCTCGGAGAGTGTCTTTTACTCTCTGGCCCCCCCCCCCTGGGCTGGGCGAAAGGGGGGGAATGGGAAAGGGGGGGTTACGAAATTTGCTGCATGAAGCTGGTTTCGGCCTCACCGAGCGGCCCATTCCTCGATACATAGCCGCCTCCGGCGCCGGGAGGCGCAGGGAAAATCAGCTACGTGAGCTGATTCTCAACCCCCCCCTTTGCTATCCCCCCCTTTCGCCCGACCCGACCCCCCCCCCGCCCCCCGGATTCCGGTAGCGATTGCGTTTGCCCAGGTCGGGTGCCCCCAAACGGTGTGGTGACCACGCCGCGTGGTGCGTCAGTGGGGCTTCGGTCGCCGTGCAGTGCAGTTTGGGAGCTCCGGTCGCTGTCCGAGGACGTCTCCAGCGGCCGATGCCTCCAGGGTCCCAACACCGTGCGGTGGCGGACCGGGCGGTGAGGTCGTTGGGAATTCCTAGGTAACCAAGCTGCCCGTCAGCGCACGGGGGCCTGGACCCCTCCCACATGCTGGCGCTCGCGCGATCAATGTGGCGATTTCAGTGCGCCCCGCCCCGACTTGCCCCCCCTCCGCCCAGGCGTTGCCTCTATCTTGCCCGGCATCCCCTTCATTTTTTAATACACAGTCCAATACAGTGAATATCATTTTCATTGCTATTAATAGTTTTCGTATTCTCATTGTTACTACCACTTTTTAATATTATTATTATTATTATTATAATGATGATTATTGTTATTCTTCTTATTATTATCATCACTTTCATTATTATTAGTATTAGTATTGGTATTATTATTACTAATGCTACTACCATTACTTCTTCTTCTTTGTCTTCTTATTTTTATTCCCATTTTTATTCCGATTCGTTTTATTCCCTACCTAGGCTCTGCCTAGAAGGGTTCTTACCCTGTGTGCTTAAAGGGCCGGGCAGTGGGCTTCGCCCCGGGCGGTTCCCCTGGCATCCGCCCCGCGGTTCCCCCAGTTACGTCTCCTTAGCTTAGCATTGCTTATCTCATCTTACCTTAGCTTATTTCATCTTAGCTAAGCTTAGCTTCATCTTAGCTCAGGTTTATCTTAGCTTAACTTACCTTCATCTTAGCTTCGCTGAGCTTTGGCATAGCAGAGCACAACATAGCATAGCATAGCGTAGCATAGCATAGCGCAGCACAGCATATCATATCATAGCCCAGCATCGCATAGCATAGCGCAGCATAGCATAGTATAGCATAGCATAGCATAGCGCAGCACAGCACAGCACAGCATAGCACAGCGCAGCATATCATATCATATCATATCATAGCATATCATAGCATAACATAGCGCAGCTTAGCATATCATATCATATCATATCATAGCATAGCTGATCATAACACAGCGCAGCATGACATAGCATAGCTTAGCATAGTATAGCATCGCATAGCACAGCATAGCGCAGCATAACATAACATAGCATAACGCAGTATATCATGGCATAGCATAGCACAGCATAGCAACTCATGCTGCTTTCCTAGGGGCTCCAACTTCTAGGTAGGGTCGCACTGGGGTAATTATTATCATCCCTAATGTTTGGACTAATGGAACAAAACACACAATACATATGCATAACACATTCAAGAAGCATCTCTTGTTCCGAGCGGGTGGGCGGGCTGCCGCAGGATTACCTATCGCGGGGCGTCCAGAGCTTCGGGGACCGCGAGCTGGGCCCGCAGGCCCGCCGCGTGGCGGGCGCGTCCCTGCGCTGCGCTGCCTCCGCCGCCGCCGCCTCCTCGAGGCTCGAGGGTTGAGGCGCTCAGGCCTTTCGGGTCGGTGTGGGCTTCCACAATCGAAGATGAACAAAACGCCATCAACATAACTTTTGGCGCTCCGCGCGGGTTTCTTGGGTCCGCGCTGGGCCCTCTCAGCGGCGCCTCCGACGCCGCCCCTGGCGCGCTCCGCGCGCCAGGGAGGGGGGTCTGGCGCGGATCCAAGAAATCCGTGCGGAGCGCCAACAATTTATGTTTATGGCGTTTGTTCTTCTTCTTTTCTTGGGTTGGTGTGGGCCTCCAGAAGCCCCTGGGAGCTTCGGGGCCTTTTGGGGGCCTCCGGGGGCCGCGTCGTTGTCGTCCCGTCGTTGGTCGTCGTGTCCGTCGTCCCTCGCCGTGTCCGCTGTTCGCAGTGGGCCGTCCGCTGTCCGCCGCCGCCAGTGCCGCCGCCGCCGCCGCCAGTGCCGCCGCCGCCGCGGCCGTCGTTGTCGTCGTTGTCGTCGTCGTCGTCGTCGTCGTCGTCGTCGTCGTCGTCGTCGTCGTCGTCGTCGTCGAAAGCTGAGAATCGAGGATCGCGGTGGGCGGCTCGAGGTCGTTTGGGGCTTTTTGGGGCTCCTGAGGTGCCCCTGGCCCACGCAGCAGCACCACCAGTCTCGGCGGCAGCAGTGGCCGCAGCAGCAGCGTCGGCTGCAGTCTGCAGTGCGAGAGCGTGCGCGGAGCTGTGAACACCAGCGCGGCTGGGCAGCGTGCGGCGTGAGCAGCACTGCGGGCAGGAGGAGGACCTTCAAGAGCAGGAGCTGAGCGTATCCGTTGCGCGAGGGCGCCTGCGGCGAACCACCGCCGCCCCTCCTTCACTCCGCCTCCCCCTGCTCCGCTTCCCTCGCCGTCCGCCTGCCTCGTTCCGCTGGCGCTGGCCTCCCCGCCTGCGCGTTCGTCGTCGTCGTCGTCGTCTGCCTGCTCCTCCCTCCCCTCTCCATCTTCCTGGCCGGCGGCAGCACGAACTGCTGCGTGCACGCGGCGCTCGCGGGGCCCCTGTGCCGTGCGCGCGAGGCTTGTTCCCATGGCGTTTGGAGGAGCCAGTGGGGCAACACCGGGGGGAAGCCTTCGGGATTCTTCTTGGGCTGTCGTGGTGTATCAGAACAAGCTTGGAGACCTCTTTGGGGCTCTCTTGGGCCACGCTGGGATTCTCATGGGCCGTCTTCGGGTGCGGTGGCGCCTTCAGAGATACTCTTGGAGGTTTATCTGGAACGTCTCGGGGCCTTTCTAGGGGGCCTCTTGTGGGCCGCCTGGGGAATCTCTTAGGCTGTCTTGAAGCCTTCTTGGGCTCTTCTGGGCGTGTCTTGGGGCCATCTTCGGGTCACCCTAGGTCGTCTTGGCGCCCTCTTGGGGGCGTCTTGGGCTGTCTTTTGGCGCTTTTTGGGATCAGAAGCAAGAGCAGGAGTCAGCTGGGACTGTTGTCGAAGACGCCTGCGGCGAACCACCGCCGCCCCCTGCCTTTGCAAACGCCTGGGTGGCCAATCGTGGGGCCGAAGTCTTGCCAAGCTGCTGGTTTATGTGCCTCCCCCTCCGGACTTCGGGGAACACTTGTCGCAGGAGGAAAAGAAACACACAGACACAATTAATCGTCGATCCCCCAGAAAATATGGGAAAATATGGGAAGTGGGGGGGAAGACAGAAATCCAGAAAATATTGGGAAAATATGGGGAATCATTTTATTTGTGTGTATTTATTTGTGTGTCCTGGGGCCCCTTCATTGTCAGCATTGTCTGATCCCCATTCCCACTGGGCCATGGTAGCTCAGCCCCGCCGGCCCACCCCACCCTGGGCAGGGGTAGGCCCCGTGAAGCCCGAAGGGAACACCATGCATTTCCCACCCAGAGGGGTACGTCGGCCAGTTGGGTCAAGGCCATGCCAGTGGGGATGGGGATCAGTGAAACGATGCTCAGCTATGGGGAGGAAGAGAGAGGGGAGGAGAGGGACGAGAAGGAGGAGGAAGAGGAGAAGGAGGAGGAGGGGGCAGAGGAGGCCTCTCGGAGACCTCCTCGTGCCTCCTGGGGGCTTCCTGGGGGCCTCTTGGGGGCCCCCGATGGTCTCTTGGGGGCCTATTCGGGGCTTATTGGGGGCCTATTTGGGGCCCAGCCTCAGGAGCCGTCTTGGGGCCGTCTTGGGCATGGGTGTCGCTTGGGCCGTCTTGGGCCCTCTTTGGGGCTCTCTTGGGCAGCCTTGGGGTTCCTTCGGGAGCCTCTCGGGCTGTCGTGCGACGATACAGGAGGCCTCTTGGGCCGTCTTGGGCCGTCTCGCTTCGGCCGTCTCGGACCGTCGGAAACTCTAACAGCGAGACCGCTACAATCTCCCAACTTCTCTCAATGGAAGAAACTCAAGGATTTTGGGCCTCTTCGGGCCCTTCTGCAGAGCCTCTCGTTGCACTCTGGGGGCGTCTTGGAGGCCGCTTGGGCCGCCTTGAGGCGGTCTTGGGCAGTGGTACGGTCATCTTGGGCCGCCTTGGAGTCGTCGTGTCTGGTTTAGAGGCCAGTGGTGCTTGCTTCGAAGCGTTTTTAGCCATGCCGGAGGCCATCTTGGACAACATTAGTTTTCGAATACAATTCATGCTAATGCACCGATCTCGGTCGCAAGTTGTCTTTTCCGCCATTGCGTATTCACTGGTGTCGTTTATGTCCTTGCCTCTGCTTTAATGGGTCGAAGCGTAAAGCCAACCGTTCCAGAGTGGGCCGGCCGTCCCTCGACCCCCGCCTCATCCCAGTCAAATACAGTCGGGCCGCTGAAGAAGGAACCCTTTTCGCTGGGGAGGGGCTCAGTTTTCTTTAATTTCTTTACAGCTTTTCTTAGGTTCTCCTTAGGCGTTCTATGCGAGATCGAAGTCTAACTTACGGAAAACAGGAGCCTCGTTCCTTATTTAGGGTTACTTACGACAGCGTTTCGACTGTAGTCCCCTGCGCGCGCACCCGTTCATTCATGGTTTCGCTCATTCTGCAGGCCTTTTCTCGCGGGTTGTTTTGGCGCCCCCGAAGGCTTTACGGCCACTGTCGACCCTCGGTGCTTGGTCGACGAGTGCGAGCCCGCCAGCACGAAGGTTCGAGAAAATCTCGCCCGTATCGCCCGTCGCCTCTTCCCCAGTTCTTCGGGCCCTTCGGAGGCAGCGCCAGATGCGCAGACCTCCAGAGTCCGTCTTTGCCATGCTGTCTCTAATTTGGTCCCAGGTGCTTTGTGGCCTGAGGACATCTCCTTGCAGTCCTGTGCGCCCCCCAAACGAGGAGGCGACCTCTGCGAGGCCCGTTTTGTCCAGAGTGGTTGCTGCTCTAGGCTTCGAAGAGGACGAGGGCCTCTTGTGCCGCGTTCGCGTGCCCAGGCAGACTGGCGATTCTGATTGACATTCAGGCAGAGTGACTGCTCAGCCTAACCTCACTTGAAGGTCAGCCTGGCTGTGCAGTCTTTCATCGACAGGCTTGTCGCGAGCCTTGTCAGCGTGGCCCGTCGCGGGTTTCATCGCGGGGTCCTGTCAACAAGGAAGTCGTTTTTTGATTCCAACTGACGCTAGAGCACCGATCTCGGCGGCCTCGTTGTTGCGAACTCATGCTTCTTGCATTTGCGCGTTCAACGGTGTGACTAAGAGCTGAACATACTAGCTGCTCTCAGTATCGGGATGAAATCGAACACCAGCCCGTGACCACTGGGAGCCTTGGCCCGCTAACGACCCCTTTGCAAGCAAAGGGGGCGGCGGATCTAGTGGCCTTCGGCTCCTCTCGACACCGTGCACGGGTGGTGCGTCATAGGCCTCTCATGCGTCTTTTGGGGTCCCTTGGGATGCCACACGGGGGCCTCCTGGAGGCCTCTTGGGCGGCTCTTGTTCGCCTCGTGGATCCTCTTCTTGGGCGCCGCTGGAGGCCTCTTTGGGGCCTCTTGGCGGTCTCGGGGTTGTCACAACGGAGTTCGTGGGCCAGTTCATGTCCTCTCCTCCGGGGGCGAAGACATTGAAACGCCATACGTTTTTTGAATGATTCGACTTCGGGGAAGTCATCGGAACACCCCAGGAGCGCCCAGGAGCGCCTGGTTGTCTGGGCCCAGGGCTCCTTGAATACGGGGCCGGATGACGCTCCACACCACGGCGACGGACATTTCGCGGGTATGATACGGTATATGTTTGCAGCGCCGAGCTGGACCTCTATAGATGACGCTGCGTGAAGGTCTGCATGCCCTGGCAGGGCCCTGGCCGGCGCCCCTTTCAACCCGCCGTGGCAGTGCGGGGCTTTGGAACGACAGCGCCCCCCTCCCGGGGAGAGCGAGGGGGCGGGATGTGCACCCGAAAGGGTCCCTGCTGGCCAAGCCACGTCGTGGCAGACAGCGCTCCCACGAGCCAGTGGCTGGTGGGGCTCTGGCGCGGCGGCATGCACATCCGCAGTGAGGCTGAGGCTCCCTGCTATGCACCGCCACCAGCTGTCGACATCCAACTTTCCACTTCAGCTTTCGACCCCCGCCTATCGACCTCCGGCCTCATGTGGCCGACCCCCAGTCTCCAACTTGCGACCCCCGGCATTCACCACCAAATACCGCACTACCGCCTTCCAGCCTTCCATTTTGGCCTCCACCTGTCGACCTCCATCCCCGAGGGCAAGATCTTCATCCTCAAGGGCAAGATCTATTGGAAGTTGCCACAACAGAGCTTTAGACAAATATTGAACAGGACTTCTGATCGGGCCTCATGGTCTGATGCTCCGGCGCTCCGGCGCCGCACCCGCGGCACCCTAGACGGTGCCCATGCCCAGGCGTGATTGTTGCTCCGTGCTGTCCAAGCCACAGCACGGCAGCTTGCCCCTTCTCACCTTCCAATCGCAGCTCGCCCCGCAGTGTCGCAGCTCGCTCCGGCTCACCTTGCCGTGCTGTCGCAGCTCGCCCTTGCTCAGCTTGGGCCCCCCTCTCCCACGACCCCAGCGACAGCCCCGTGCCCACGACCCCGACAGCCGCCCGATCTTTCCCCGGCTGCCGCCGCCTGCCTCGTGCCACCGCCGCCGCTCCCGTGCCCTCGTCGCGGGCGGCGGCTCTCTCCCAGCACCCGGCCTGGCCCCATGTGCGCTTGGCTCCCGTCTCGTGCGCTTCCCCTGCCCCTCGTCGCCCGCCCGCCCGCCGTCTCCCCCCCCCGGCCAAGCCCTTCCCTTCCCGCCCGCCTCGCCCCGTCTGCCCTGGCCTACCGCTACCAGCCTGGAGCATATCCCTATCCCTATGCTGGGCATCTCCTCCTCACGATGCCAATCTTAGGGGTTCCCTTATTTTTTGAGGGCGCATCCCTGAGATGGTTATCGCCTTGTGGCGCGTCGATCTTTTAGGGATAGGGATAAGTTCGAGGCTGGCAATACCGCCTGCGCGCTGGCCCCAAGACCCCCGGCGTCAGGACTTTTGCACCGGGTGGACCACCAGAGATCTCGGCCCCGTTCCCCAGGCAGCGGTCTTTCATCCCGAGGCGTGGGAGTTGTGTTTTTGATGTCCCCGAGGCCCGGCAAGGGCCCCCAGAGGCGCCCCCTGAGATCCTTCAGCTCAGCGACCTGGCCCCTATGGCGCGTGGGGAGGCGAGGGCCTTACTGAACTGATTGCTTTCGGTATGCCAGGACGCCGAGATTCGTTCAGTTCAGTATTTCTCGTCTACGGAGTCGCCACGGAGGCCAGATCGCTGAGCTGAAGGATCTCCCGGTGCGTGCCAGAGGCCGAAAATAGTGAAACACTTCCCGCCGTGATTTTTTCATGACTCGAGGGGTCAGGGGTCGCCGCCTGCTTCCTTCTCCTTTCCTCCGTCCTTGGCATCGCTTGGGTGTATGCATTCTCTTTCGGCGAGGACCATCGTGGAGCATCTTGGACCACCTTGTGAAGTGGGCGTACGAAGCCGAAACATGCACGGGAAACGGGCGCCCGAGCGATGGCGAGTGTCCCCGTTTCCTCTGCCAGGCTCTTCTGGCAGTCCGGGAGCCGCCGGCCCCTGCGTGGAGGCTGGCGTCGGGGTGTGGTATGCTGTAGTCTCGACCCCTTCCCTAGGAAGCACCGCGGGCTCTTTTTGCCGTCCCGGTGCCCCAGACCGCTTTGAGCAGAAGTCGCGACGGGAGTTTTTATGGATATTCTTGGGCTCGAGGGGCCCTTGCCAGGTCTCGGAACCTTGAAGAACAACTCGGGATGAAAAGCCGGTCCCGGGGAGAGGGTCGAGATCTATCGGGGTCCACATTATGAACAGCATGATGACGTCGGGGGTTTGGTGCCCCGTTGCCCCCATGCGTATCCCGTAGTGCTCGGATCCGCGGCACGTAGTGTCCTCGCGCGCAGTCGTCGCCCGTGCTCGGGCATGTCTCTTTACGACAGATGCTCGGATTCGTACATCGATTGGCATGCATGTTTCGCCTTTCTTCGTTTCGCATCATCTGTACATGAGTTCGCAATGCAACTTTTGACCATCAGCAGATGCCTTATCCGCATTGCGTTTGCCTTCGATGTATCCCAGTTCGCACACAAGATCATGCACCCGATCTCCTTCACAGTGCCTCCTCCCTGCGCACCTTCCCACCGCAGCGGACGCACACGGGTGCCAGCATCTACGTCTCCATGTGGCCGCTGTCTGCGCTGGGCTTCGGAACGAGGGACAGCGGCGTAGAGGAGCGGAACCCTGCTTGTTCGACTGCTCTGTTGGGGAGCCATCTCTTTGTCTTTCCCCTCGTCTTTCCGTTCCTGGGCGATTTGCGAGTATGGACGATGTGGTGTTGCTGATCGAAGACGCCTTGGTCAAGTAACCGTTTCCCCTTGCCATTCAGGCAATGCGTACGTATCAAACGTTGGATGCGAGTTTTTGGCGAGCTGCTGAACTGTGTTCCGTTCCTTCAGCGGATGCGGAAGCAGATGAGGAGCACAGGGGGTAACAGTTCCTTGGTTTGGTGGCCTCTGGGGCTCTGCTGGGGCCCACTGGAGCCATCTTTTGGATCCTTGGGGATGTGCTGGCGGCCTAGGAGGCAATCTTGGAAGCGTCTTGGGACCTCTTGAAGAGCTCAAGATGACTATCTTGTAATGCGGGTGGCGTTCCAGCGCTGGACGGCGGCACGGTCGCAGTGGGCGGCGCCAGAGGCGCAGCTGGCTGGGTGCGGCCCCCGCAGAGCCACTGCAGGACGGCTCCGCAGGGTGCCCGGGGGTGCCCTAGGGCCCTATAGCCCTATAGCCCAATAGCCCTATAGCCCTACAGCTCTATAGCCCTATAGCTCTATAGCCCTGTAGCTCAACAACCCTATAGCCCTATAGCCCTAAAGCTCTATAGCCCAAAGACTCTGATTGTTTTTTCTCCGGTATCATTGATTTGTGTGTTATTGGGCCCCTTCACTTGGACTTGCAGTTTGGCAAGAGCGGAGCGCCGCAGGGGGTTCGGGGAAGTTCCGAGATCTTGCCAGGGTGCAGCGTCGGTTTATTCCACCACATGGTCGAAGATAAAGCTGGTCGTGCTGTTCATGACATTGGATTGGGACGTGAACGCAGTGGTAGTGCATTCGTTCGTTCCCAGGCAGACGTGGGCTTAGAACTTGTGCTCATTGTTCTGTCTCGGGTTCTGGAGTAGACACCTCAAGGTGATCGAGCTCGAGAATCTTTGCGGGAAGGAGATGAGATTTGGCGGACTAGCCTGCCTCAAAGCGAGATCATGGACTCCGCAGGCGCGTTCCACGGCGTGCCAGTGCACGGCACCCGGTCGAACAAAGGCCGCTGGGATGTCACAGTGCCAGACGAGGATTTACTCCGATACGGCGCCATATATCAGTGCGTGATCAAGAGCAGCTTTCAGTCGGGCGTGTCCCTCTACAGCAAGAGTATTCGAAAATAGTAAGGAAATAGTCTGGGGACGATTTAGTCGATTATTTTGGACTGACCATTTTTGAGCCTTTTTGGACTGTTTTTTATTTTTCGTCCAACTTCCGCCTGTAGGGGGACATGCCCGACCTAAGAGCAGCTAGACTTAAGTCGGACGTGTCCCTCTACAGGGGGAATATTCATCAGGAGGGGAAAAAACACACAGACACAATTAATCGTCGATTCCCCAAAAATATAGGAAAATATGGGAAGTGGGGGGGAAAACAACAACCCAGAAAATATGGGAAAATATGGGGGATATTTTTACTTGTGTGTATTTATTTGTGTGTCCCAGTTCCTCTTCAATTCAAAAATAGTTTGAAAAAATAGTCCAGGGACGATTTTTTGACTATTTTTGAGCATTTGCGGGGTACTTTTTTGGTATTTTTTTGTTCTTCGGTCAAAATCCCCCTGTAGGGGGCCACGCCCGACTTGAAGCCAGACTCAGACGTCCACGGGCGTCGGCGGCGCACCTGCCGCACGAGGGGCGCGCTGCCCACGCCGGCAGCGGCCGCCCGGGCCCGCGCCGGGCCAGGGGTGGGGAGGCTCTCCGCTCGGGGCTCCACGCGCGGCTCCGCGGGTCTCCGAGGACGGTGTGCGCCGGGCGGCTTTAGCAGCAGCACCCTGGAGAGGAGGGAGGAGGGAGGAGGGAGGAGGGAGGAGGGAGGAGGAGGGAGGAGGGATGAGGGAGACGAGGCGGAGGAAGAAGGAGGAGGAGGAGGAGGAGGAGGGAGGAGGAGGAGGAGGAGGAGGAGGAGGAGGAGGAGGAGGATGTGGAGGTGGAGGATGAGGCAGGAGGATGAGATGAGGAAAAGGAAAAGAAAAGGAGGGAGGAGGCGAGGAGGGAGGAGGAGGAGGAGGAGGAGGAGGAGAGGAGGAGGAGGAGTGGAGGTGGAGGAGGAGGAGGAGGAGGAGAAAAGGAAATGAGAAGGAGGAGGAGGAGGGAGGAGGGAGGAGTAGGAGGAGGAAAGAGGAGGAGGAGGAGAAGGAGGAGGAGGAGGAGGAGGAGGAGGAGGAGGAGGAAAAGAGGATGAGAGGAAAAGGATGAGGAGGAGGAGGAGGAGGAGGAGGAGGAGGAGGAGGAGGAGGAGGAAAGGAGGAGGATGAGGAGGAGGAGGAGAAAAGTAAAAAGGGGGAGGAGGAGGAGGAGGGAGGAGGAGGAGGAGGAGGAGGAGGAGGAGGTGGAGTTGAAGGAAGGAGAGGAGGAAAAGGAGGAGGAGGAGAGGAGGAGGAGGAGGAGGAGGGGGAGGAGGGAGGTGGTTGAAAAGGAGTAGGAGGACGGAGGAGGAGGCAGGAGGAGGAGGGAGGAGGAGGAGGAGGAGGAGGAGAGGAGGAGGAGGAGGAGGAGGAGGAGGAGGAGGAGGAGGAGGAGGAGGAGGAGGAGAGGGAGGGCGAGGGGGAGGAGGAGCAGGAGGAGGAATAGGAGAGGGAGGGCGAGGGGAAGGCCGTGCCGCCACCTCGGCGGCGGCGGGCTCTTCGGCCCCTCCAGCGCGGGCGGGGCGCCGAGCCGGCAGCCGAGCCGGCAGCAGCAGTCTGCCACGGAATGCGGGAAGGAAGCGTCGCGCAAAGGTTGGGCCAGCCTGCGCGTGCAGCGTGAGCGTGCGTGGCCGCATGCCTTCCACTGCGGGGCGGGCGGGTGGAGTTTCTGCTGCGCCGTGCTGAAGTCCAGGCGGGCGTGCGGGCAGGCGGAGCTCTTCCTCTCCGGCTTTGCGATGGCTGGGTGCCACGTGCAGGGGGAGCTTGGGTTTGACGCCATCAGGGATTTGGGATAGCTTGTCCTTCTTCTTCTCATTCATCTTCTTCTTCTTCTTCTTCTTCGTTTTACTTCTTCCTCTTCGTCTTCATTCCCAGCAAGAAGGACAACATCTCGGAGCGACTTGAGGACCTGCTTGACGCATCCCGTGGTGCGCACCACGTGGCGGCCGTGAGCGAACCACTCTCGCAGGCTGGGCTCGTGGGCCAAAGGCTGGCGGAGACGCACCTGTCGCAGCGCGGGCTCGCCTGCAACATCATGCCTTTCTGAAGCGCCACTGTCTGCTGCTGCAGTGGGGACCCAAACCAAGAAGCACACTACTGGTAGTTCTGCTACGGGAAGCGTGGAGTTCCCAGACCAAAAACCAATGGACGTCCTGGGGTTTCAGGGTTGGGTTTCTTGTGCAAGGTTTCTTGTGGACTGGCCTCCACTGTATTTTTTCAGCGCGAGGCCCTGTGGGGCCGCGCAGTGGCCCCGGCTTTGGAAGACCGGCCAGTTCTGCCATGGGGCCTCCTGCGGCGTATAGGGAGCCTTCTGGAGCTGGGGTCCCTGGAGGTTCCTAGGTGTCTCCCGCCTCTGGAGGTCCACCGAGGATCCAGGCGGCTGCCGTGGGCTTCCAGGAGGCACAAGAGGGCCAGACGAGGTCCGAGCACTTCGATCTCGGACACGCTCCCTTCCCCCCTGCCCTATCCCGCTCCCTCCCCAGACATCTGGTGTTCTGATTTTTCCAGAGGCTGGGCTCCCAGGGGTCCCGAACGGGCCGGGTTTCCATCCCGAGTCGTTCCTTGGCGCTTGCGTGGCCTGGCGAGGGCACCCCTGGAGGCCGAAACCTGCGCAGAGCCCCCCCGAGGCCTTGAGTTTTCTCAGACGTTGGATGCTTGGTCCCCCCCTCGCTCCCTCCATCTTTCATCCCTGCTCTCATGTCAGGAATCCTTGGGGTTCCTTACTTGCCATGATCTTTTTTTTCGCTGGTCGATTGTTCGGGCGGCCCGACTGTTTTCTGCGTGCCGATAGCGATTGCCTTGCTTCCGCCTTTGCTCTTCTCTTGACGCGCTTGATCATCGGAATGGCAAGGATGAGTCCTCCCCTTCTCAGCCACGCGGAGAGAGGGGCGAGGGGGGAAGGCTCCTGAGAAGCACCCTTGCTTCTTGGAAGGCGCGGGCCTTATCTGTAGATGCAAGGTTGGCGCCTTCCAGGAAGCACCTATCTAAGAAGCTTCCCCGCCACCCCTCCTCCTCCTCCTCCTCCTCCTCCTCCTCCTCCTCCTCCTCCTCCTCCTCCTCCTCCTCCTCCTCCTCCTCCCCCTCCTCCTCCTCCTCCTCCCACCCTTCTCCTCCCCCTCCTCCCCCTCCTCCTCCTCCTCCTCCTCCGCTCTGATGAAGAAGATCCGTGGGCTCACGAGAGCAGTTTCAGCCCACATGTGCCTGTCGCTGCTTCGAACCCCGCCCGCGTCGAGACAAAAAACATGTCGCCAAGCTCAGCATTTGAGTGCCAGGCCCTGCCATCCAGTCAGCATTGCCTTGCACCGTCCAACAGAGAGTCTCACAGCGAGCATGGTCATGTTGCTTCCTTTGCCTGTTCTGCCGCCCGCCCTGCCGGCGAGCCGCAACAACAGCACAAGGACGCGCCCTCTCTGCTTGTTTCTGCCTCTGATGCCAGTAATCCATGTCTCTCAGTCAGTACAGTCAGACAACCAAGTTTAACATATCGTAATTTGACAGCCCAGCGTGAGAACCCCCCCCAGCGACCCTGACGCGATCCGTGCCGAACTCGAAACCCCGAATTCGACATCAGCCCAGAGCTCTGGAGTGCCCACAGGCAACAAATCAGTGTCCTGCCGCCGCAAGCCTCGCTGGCTCGATTTCCTCGGCAGCATACAGCAACACAGCGCTGAACAGGTCGTCGCTGGTGCAGTCAGAGCAGCACGCCTAGCACGGCGAGCGCAGCAGCGAGCCATACGGCGTGCCATCTTCAATTTTCGCGACTGGGCGGTCACCGACGACGCCATAGGTATATTACATCGTTCACTACGACCTCAGCCACAACCCGCCGAGTTCACCACGGACCACGGCACCACCATCATGCACCCCAAAGACTTGATCGACAGTAATGTCGACACCTGGAGACGGCTCTGGGCACCCGAAGGAGTTACCAACATCGGTCTGCAGGAGTGCTTCCACCGCGTCGTCGAACGCATCCAGGAGTGCCCGCTGCCACCCATCACCAGCCATGAGGTGCGCCAAGCCATCAAGCGTCTCAAAGCCAACGCCGCTTTGGGAGCTGACCGACTTCGACCAGCCAGTCTACAACGGCTACCAGACAACGCACTCAGCGAGCTTGCCGAGCTGTACAACATGGCAGAGCAGGTTCAGATGTGGCCTCATCAACTCCTACACGCCATTGGCGTCATGAGGGCCAAGAAGGACAACGGTGACAGGATACTCGGCATCATGACCATCATCGCTCGTCTCTGGTCCCTCATCAGGCAACCCTACGTGCAGGCCTGGAACAAGGAGTACTTTGCCCGCTGGGACGCCATCGCCAAGGGCAACTCCGCCTCCCGCGAGGCGTATGAGCGCAGCCTCCACGAGGAGGTGGCCGCCAAGCTCGGCATCACGCAAGCTCACGGCCTCCTCGACGTTTCGCAGTTCTATGATTCCATACATTGGACCACCCTCATCGACGAGGCCCTAGAGCTCAATTTGAGGTTTTACAGTGCACGGCACCACGCACGCCCATGCAGGGCGGCGCCTACGCCGATGCCATCCAACCCACGCGTTCAGTGGTTCAAGGGCTCCGATCGGGCACTCGTTTCGCCAAGATCATGACTTACAAGGCTTTGCTCCACGTCGCCACGTGCCATCCTCAGGCACGGCACCGCATATGGGTCGACGACCTGTCGCAGCGCATGCAGGCCAGCCGACGCGCCCTGCGCGCCGACATGGTTCACGTTCTCACCGACACCTGCATGGCGCTCCAGGACTACGGCCTCAGCATCGCCAAGAAGAGCGTCATCGTGTGCACTCACATCCAGGGCGCCAAGTACATAGCCAAGGCCATGCGCATGAAGGGCTACCCCATCCAGCCTCGCGCGCTGGCCGCATACCTGGGGGCCGACCTCAGCTGCGGCACCAGGCAGGCGCGCGCTACTGCTACCCAGCGGCGTCTACGACACCGCAACGTGCATGCCAAGATCGTCAGGGTAGCCCGAGTCACCGAGCGCTACCACGTCACATCCCGACTGGCCATCCAGGGTGGGCTCGCAGCTGCCAGCTATGCCCGCCAACTCTACGGCACATTTGGAACGGCCATGACTACTTGCAGACGTCGTCTGGGAGATGCGGTCGGACCACGACTCCGAGGACGGTGTTTGACCATTCTCCTCGACATCAAGGCTGCAGAACGGGATCCCGCACGAAAGTTGCCACGTGAATCCGTTGTTGCCTGGCTCACTGCGTGGGCCTCCAGCCAGCAGCGCCACCACGACATCAACAGCGCGTGGGCAAAGATCGTGGAGCATTTCAACCGCGTCCCAGCAGCGCAGCGTGTCCTACACATACGTGGCCCACAAGCCACCATCATCCACTACCTCATGCAGATGGGGTGGGGCCCAGCACGACCGACCCAATGGCACGTGCCTCAGACTGCAGGTCTCAGCGGGGACTCTTGGGTGATCGACGCGACAGAGCTCTCGGGTTTCCCCGGCGCTGACATTCCACACCCGCTTCTACTAGACATCGACACCATCATCTGCCACCAACAGTGGACCTGCGCCAGCAAGCGCCATGGAGGCGAGGGCCTGCAGCATGGTGTAGACAACAGGTCCTACCGCAAGGTGCTCGCCTACTTGGAGCGCATGCCACAGGGAGTAAGGCTGTCCAATTTGATGCTTACCATCGCGGCTGGCGCCATGTGGACACGACAGCGAGTATTTCAGGAGACAAAGATGCCAGACGTTGACGCCAAGTGCCCCAGGTGCGGCCTGGCTAATGAAGACGA